ATTGAAGGCAACTTGTTGGTGGGTGAGACAAACATGATCGAAAATGCATTTACTCAACGTCAGTGACACAAACCCTTTCTGATGGCGAATTATTACTCTTATCTTATAACTGCCTTTTGGCTATATCTGCCGTTGTATTGGTTGGTGGAGCATATGTGTCGACCTCATGCGGGTGGTAGCTGGCGGGAGGATCTGAGGAGACTCTCAAGGCTGCGGCCGAAAGCCGCACAACGTGGGACCCCATTCCCTTGAGGTGAGCGGTAGACTCATGACGCGCTCTGCGGCTAGTAGCCGTGCTGATAATGCAATTGGTGGTGATGCCATACACTTACATCACGTCTGCAGGAGCGGCGGTCTGGCAGGTGGTGGCGTTCACGGAGGGTTTACGCCCAGTGTGCCTACTTGCCTAAACCGTGTGACGTACATTCACTGTGGCTGGATTCGTTCGTATTCTGTATGGCGTTTACACGCATTGACATGCGCGACTTCGGTCGATGTTTGTGCTTACGCACTAACAAGGGGCCAAGCCTCTTTTACTGGTTCGCCAGTTTATTTGCTGTGGACTACGGTCCAGTTCCCGAATTAGCGTTCCCTTCGGGGGGAGTGCATCAAAATGGTTGGCACTCACCGTGCACGGCGTGTGTGGGGCCGTGTACCTCCCCTACTTTTTTTTAAAAATAAATGTAGGAGAGCGAAGCCCTTGTATTGGGTATTTTGTATAAATATATTTTGAGCCTTTTCCGAGCGGGAAGGGATAATTAATAATAAATTAATAATGTAAACCTGATACAAGTGGAATAAGGACGTTTTATGTCTTAACCTTTCTCGAGCCCTGTCTTCGTGAACGGGGTTCACTTAGCTTATAAGGCACTACCAACAGCTTTCAATTGCTCTAGCGAATATTCATTCTTCCAAAAGACACCTAAAAGAACTAAGTTACTAAACAAACACAACGTAAATAAGGGTCCTAACTAAGACGATCACGCCAAAATATTACAAACGGCCTATTATTAAACCTTTAGAAAGATCATTTAGAAAGACCAAAACATATTTTATTTATCCTAGTCACATATATATAATTTTTATTATAAAGGAGAATTAATTATATTTAATCTAATATATTTATTACTATGAGAGGGGGGAAGCGTTACAATATCATCGGAATGGTGTCGGGTAAGTCGGGTAGGTATAGTACCACATATTAAATGAAATTATCTACACGCATTTTATCGCGTTTAATTTCGACTTTTTTAAATTTTCGTTGTTTAGCTGTAAAGCACCCATGATCACGGGGGAACTGAGATGTTTGACGTCCTAATGTCACTGTTAGCTCAGCTACCTTCAATTTTAGAATATTAATTCTTGGTCCGATCTACGCAGAACGAGATTATCTTGAAGTCTTGGAGTGATACGTATGCTTGGGAGTGAAGCCGGCCAAGGTCAAGTGTGTTCCTGCTGTATACGTCAGAGGAGTCAAAAACAAGATTAGCTACATCTTGAAGCTTGAGCTTTCATTAAAATCTACAAAAAACCGCCGAAGAAGATTAGCAAATTTTAACCATCCGTCAAGTGTTATATCCCCCTACAAGATGCAGTAGTGTATAAGCTGGATAGTGAATGTGGTATATCTTATATAGGACAAATAAAAAGATCTATGAAAACCCGCGCAAAAAAAAGAACATATGGCTGACGTGAAGCACCGACGTTCGGGGAAGTCTGCAGAGTCTAATTTAGATTTGACAGATCACATATTCTCGCATACCCTAGATCACATACCCTCAAAGGATGATTCGCGAGGCTATTGAAATTCCTATTTTATCTATATGTATATTTATATTTATCTATATGTATGGCTGATTAAAACTACTTTTACGGATTTTATCGCGTTTATTTTTACTTTTTATTTTTAATTCCCGACGTTTCGGGCGCTTTCTAGCACCCATGGTCACGGGGGACTGAGATGAAACCCGGAGTACCTTCAGCTTTTTTAATTATTGTTTATGGTCCGATCTATGCAAAATGAACTGACTATGTCTTGAGGTCTTGCAGTGGTATGCTTGGGTTTAGTTTTAATTTTATTGATTATAGGATCCCAAGCAGGTGGTAGTAGGTACCCAGCCTCCTTCTCTATTGAAATTAGGATGTTTTTTAATTTCAATAGCCTCACGTATCATCCTTGGTAGGAATCGGTGTTCTTTCGCGAGGATTTGTGGTCTATCAAATCTGATGTAATGGTTGGGGCCGCTAGGATATGATCATATCCTAGACGGCATGGGTGCTGGAAAGCGCCCGAAACGTCGGGAATTAAAAATAAAAAGTAAAAATAAACGCGATAAAATCCGTAAAAGTAGTTTTAATCATGTGCAATGTTCGCGTAAATATAAGAAATCATTATATATGTATGGCTATTAAAATCCTAATTTCGATAGGGAAGATGTATGTGTGCTGCCATCTACTTTTGTTTTTATAATTAAGCAATTAAATCTAAACACAAGCATACCACTGTAAGACTTCAAGATACTGTAAGCTCATTCTGCGTAAATTGGTTCAAAAATTAATATTCTAAAACTGAAGGTTGCCGGGCTAACAATGACTTCTGGACGTCAAACATCTGAGTCCTCCCGTGACCATGGGTGCTGTAAAGTACCCGAAATGTTAAGAATTTAAAGAATTTGAAATTAAACACGATAAGATCCGTAAAATGAGTTTCCTTTAATATCGTAGCTATTTTAACCGTAGGATTTTTTTATAGATGGATGGTCATAAAATGTAATTCTATCTATTAAATAATTAAACTTGAGTGTATGTGTGTATTTATTCTCGACTTAAATGAAATAGAAGTTCACATGTTTACTAGCAGCGGCTTCACATGCAGTAAAACTGGGCTTCGCAAATATGATCATATCTCCGAATTTCGCAAACAGCTCATATTGCTCCCGATCCGCCTTCGCAGGAATACTCACATTCTCTGCGCGTTGTATAGCGTGCTGTTTAATCCTTCCAATCCACTTTATTTAAAAAAAAAACTGTTTCCAGTGTCTTTCTCTTACCCATAATCGGTTCCTTCGATCCTCCGTCAATCTTTCTCTCTCTACACCTTTGCACTCTTCTTCCTTTTTCAAGAAATCCATCACCGTAACTGCTGTGCAATTGTGGAACTCCTCACCTCTCCATATTCGTCGTGCTAAATCTCTTCACTCTTTCAAAAGTCTTGTTAAATCGTATTATTTTGAAAGATATTAGATAAATTACTTTACCTATCTCGTACTCTTTTCATTTAATCTATTATATGATATTTTATATATAATTTTCGCTTATCCTTATTTGTATGTATTATTATATCTTTTATTATTATTTTGTATGCCCCCCTCCATTTTAACATATGTTTGCATCATTCCTCTACGCAAAGGTTGTCTGGAAGAAATCACTTTCAGAGTGATAAGATCGCCTATTGTACATACTTTAATTTAGTTTTAACTGTACTTGATGTTATTATTTTATGGTGTACAAAAAATAATAAATAAATAAATAAAATAAATAAATAAAATTGTCATTTCAGAAGTAGAAGCTAGCTTATATAAGATAAAAAATAAAATTTTGAATATGGCAATACATTTTTGTAATAGAAATATCAATGTATATATGAGTTAGTTAATTGAATAAAATGAACAGTTTGATATTATTCAGAAAAATTGTTTAGTAATTGCTCTCGAGTTAGATTAATAGCATATTTGATGATTTACAGTAAATATTATGTAACCCCTCACTCACATACTCCGATAGAAGGTTAATCCGGAGAGAGATCAGGCATAATTTTTCTTTAATTTATTAAAAAAATATTTTATTGAACTATAATGCTGAAAATTTCTGGACAAAAAAAATATTAGTTAGTTTTGGACCCGACCCGGGATTCAAGATTGACACCACATGTTAAGTAGTTGGACTTTAGGGCAGTCAATATGTTATATAATAGCTATATGACAGCAGTTTTTGTAGGTATATAATGTGGTTCAACCCTAAAATTAGAAAAAAGAAAACAAGTAAATTCTGTTCTTTTTCATCAGTTTGTAGTGACTGCCTTTTATCCCAGACTATACATTGTGTTAGGTTCAATAATCATTAATAATACACGTGAAATGTTTTTAGAGCGAAGACAGAGAAACCATAGACTAATGATTAGCGTGGCCTCGAGTGAGAAAGGACGATAACGTAGTTTTAGGTTATACAATAATCTTTATGACTTTTAAACATATTTAGATAAAATTTTTAATTGTTCTAAGAACTGAACTGAACAAGATTCACAAATCTTAAGCTCACAAAACACTTTTTTCTCACTTAAACCAATTTGTAAAGTATTTAGATCGCTACGAACTGTCAAAGTTAAGTTGTTTAGCAAAGTGTAGTTTGCTAAACAAAAAAACCGGCACGGAGAAGGGACAAACAATCACACCGCTATGTCTCATTTCTATGCAAGACGTATGCATAAATCTATATTTTTCGTGTGCGAATGTGAAAGACGGCTTCAATATGTCTATAGGTTTCTCTGTCTACGTTTTAGAGTTTTCAATTGATGACCCTTGTAACTTCCACACTCGTAGTGTGGTATGATGGAATCTCTTGTATCGCTACTATACGACAAAAAGATAATAATATTCACTTTTGTTATTGTAATAGCGGTGTAAGAATCCACTATAATATCGTCCCATAGGTGTCGTAAAAAGCGAAAAAGTGAAACAACCCGGGGCAGCAGTAATTTTTTTTTTTTTTTGCCATGGCAAGAAAACCTAATAACATAATTTTTTAATCTTTTTTTTATAGGGTAGGGTGACAAACGAGCACACAGTCCATCTGATGGTAAATGGTTGCTGGGGCCCATAGAAAATAAAAAAGAAAAGTAAAATAAAACTAAAAAACTGCTTCTATCCTGTGGTCTATATGAACTTATCTTATAAAATAGGAGAAATAACAGAATAAATAAGATACATTTTTAATAGAAACATTTAATTAATCTTTTTATTCGAAGTACTATTTCTCGGAGTGAATGTGACCGACACAACTGTGCATGATAAGTTACAATGGTCGCTGTAGAAAACCGATTTGAACGTCATGTTTCCATATAAAAACATGCCACCGTAGTACTTCTGTGCCACGTCTTCTATATCTAAAATAAATTTGTAGTGTCCCTGTAAATTAACAAGTAATAATTAACACGAAGGAACTAAAACTATTATTTATTAAACTTTGACGAGCCATTATTTGAGACATTTATTATGGGAAATGAACGTTTTCTCTAAAGGGTTACCGCACTATGTGCTAATTTTTTTAATCTACCCTGTTTGTATTTTCTACAGTATTATGGTGGTTCACCAAGACACACCTCTAGACCAGGACAATTATTTTTAGGTTATATCCATACTTATTCCGTGAGGGATTCAAACTCGAGTCCCTGCAGCGCCGCGACTAAACGATAAGCTGCTGTGCTACGGCACTATGCTAAAATTTAGCGATTATATATTCTTTACTTTGTGCATCCTGTTGATTCACTAATATGGTTTTGACAAGTGTTCTAAATCCAATTAAATAAAAAGTGGCAAGAAAAAGCGCCAGTTACGTGCTTGTCACTCATCCAACTCACTCTTGTGTGGGAGCAATTCTATCCTAAAAGCTTATGGGCACCTGGATATTTTTTTCTAGCAGTGAATTAAAAGGCTAAGATGTAGTAATAATTATCTAAAAAATCGGGCTACCCTTTGTTTTGCTTATCTATCGGAGGTCACAAATTTTTCAGGAATTTCTCTATGACGCTTTTTCGACGAACGAATGAGTTTCTTATTTTTTCACACGGAAAAAATTACCATGAATGAATTACATGACCAATAGTGGCGGTGTAATAATAGCCACTGCCCCATGTCATCTCGTGGATGTCGTAAGAAAAGTCAGAGGGAATCGAACTAGGAGATAGACAATGGCATCTGCATCATCAGCGTCGGTGCCGACCCGTCTGCCATGTGTGGCATCTATGGCAAATATCCCCCTTATTAAGCAATCTATGGGAGTGGTCTATCTCTAGCTGTGGACGTGATCCGCTGCGATAGTAACGGTAAAGGTAAATGAATTGCAGATCTATTATGTATAACGGCTTTATAGCACTCAGCCTAATAGGCTGAGACTAGATTAGTAATTTTTTTTTAAATTTTTTTGTTACTTAACTCGATCTTATTACTTTAGCATAACATTATAAACGTGTTGGTGAGCACTAATTAAGTGTGTAAAGGGTGGTTAGCTCCTTTACTATGTAGGAATCCGTTTCATTGGATAAACACCCTCTCACTTATTGTAGGCACCAAGCAGCAGGGTAGAGAGTTAACATAATGAAAGACTGTAAGGTACTTAATTTCAGTCTTGACACCACACTTGTAGACTTCTTCGTTTGAACTTGGTAACTGGTATCCGTAAGCCGCACTAGCTACTTACAATTGGGTGTACTAATAGCTCTTGTACCTCAAGAACATTAAAAAAATAATTATAACTTGGTACTTAATTTAAAAAGAGGCAAACAATTACTTTTACAAAAACGCAATCCTTTGTGACATTAAGCAATGACATGAATAAGGGCTTTAGAAATAGATGATCGCAAGGTTTCTTCATCTGAAGCCTTATTAGAGGTTTTCCGTTCACCATGGCCACAATCTTGCCCTGTTGAAATTTTTAGAATAAAAAACGTGTACATGTGATATTAATGTAAAATTAAGTACAAAATTATTAGCTTTGGACCAGAGTAATATAAGTTTGGCAGCTCCGCGAAGGCTTTGTCGTAAAGGTGACAAACGAGCACACAGTCCACCTGATGGTAAGGGAATACAGTGGTCCATATGCAAAGAAGACTAAGAACTAAGACTACTACTTGATTAAGAATTAAAACGCTGATGCATTATGACCCCTGAGGACTAATATGAAATGCCTTTTTACCAATAAGAAGGATGTCCGGTTCTTATTTATTTAAATGTGATAGGTGTCTTAAATAACGATAACTTTAAATTATACTATATTTTTAAAAAAAAAACTAAAACTATTAACTTAATTATCATAAAATCCTACTGCCCATGGTATCGTGCCAAGAACGTTGGCTGCGTTTCTTCGCTGAATGGCTATACTTACTTCGAGCGGGAAAAGAAGCAGCCCTCTCATAACTGGCAGCAATATATGAAAATATATTTAAAACTGTTATTTAACTTGCAATGTTTGTTTGTTTGTGCAACTAAATTTTAAAGCAGTTGACCTCAACAGATTGAGCTGAAATTATTCATAGCACATATTATAGGTTTGGATGACAATATGGTTAGCTAAGTGACGTCATACTAAATCCCATATGGCGGACGGCTCAAGATGGCGGTCTAGTTATTTATTTTCTATGGACTTCCATGATAAGGGTCACAAATGAAGGGGTTTGCTGAGAAGAATACAAAAACAAAATGATGATTTATGAGATACAGATGATTACATAATATTACATGTATATTATGAATAATAAATATACAGAACAGCATGAATAAGAATTAATTGACTCCCAAAAATAGCAGACTATGTTATTTTTACCGCAATGGAAATCCACTGAACCCAAACATAACTGACTAATATATAGGCCGTATGAAATAAAAAAGGCCGCCGTAACAATTTTAAAGAGTTATAACACGGCATAGGTTAGTGATAGTTTGGTGGTGCTCGAACAAAAATTTAAAGTGGTGTAAAACAAGATGGCCGCCATTACAATTGTAAAGAGTTATAACTCGGCAAAGGTTAAAGATGGCTTGGTGGTGCTCCAGCATATGTTGTAGGGACCGACAAGAGTCAACTGCTAGCGATAAATTAATAGTTGAAAAACATTTTTAAAAACAAGAAAAATATTTTCAAAAACTTTATTAAATAACTACGTTTGTATAAAAAGGGTTATAATAATAATAAGGAATTTATTGATGATAATAACCCCGGAAAAGGTGATTGCTAACAAGCTATTTCTAATTTGTTTTGTATTTGTAAGATACAGTATGATTGTAAGCTGTTATTTTTTTTAAAATCCATTTGGGTTTCTTGCTGGTTCTTCCCAGGAAAAGTGACATTCAATAAGTATTATTTATAATCTATATTGAATAAAAAAGTTTCTGTTTATGTTTCTTGCACCGCGATTTACATATGTACATAAAAATAACACCATATGTAACTTTATACTGACCTAAGGTAATTCCATAAAAAAAAAGTGTTTTCTTAAAAAATATGTAAATCTTGCGACAAGTTTTATTAACTTCCGAGTTGGAAGTTATTGTAATGGGCCCGATTTTGCAAATTGGAGATTTTAACATATCTCCACGTTTCAAGGTCTTTGGAGTCGAATAGTATCGTTTTTATGAGGATGTCCATGTGTGCACATGTACGTATGTATGTATGTATGTATGTATGTATGTATGTATGTATGTATTTATGTTCAGATTCAATTTTTGCCTCGTGTATCTCGAGAACAAAGAGTGATATTGATATGGGACTAGTTTCATTTAACGCATAATTATGTAACTTAGACCTCATTAAATTTTGAGTAAAATCGGTCAAGTAATTTTTTGTGCTGAATGAAAAATTGTATAAAATATTAAAACATATAATATTTTTTATTCTTTCAACTGGGAAGTTGGTCGTGTGGACTCTTCGGGTTCGGACCTAGCCCGCTTTTAAATCATATAAATTGTGAAATGTAATAAATTGATAGATTTGATTTGATTTAAAGTTTATTTTCTTCTTTTAGAGCATTTAAATTAAAGCTGCCTTTTAAAAATGTTTTTTATTTGCTAATAATTTATTTCATATTTATAATTACCTTAGTGGGCATTATATCTTCTTTTACTGTTATATCATAAAACATGGTAACTCCGTCTTGCATCCAAGTTGTCACTTCGCAACAGTCCTTGCGTTTCGGTCCCTTACAAGTTACTAAGCTTGTTACATTTAGTTTGAATGTACCCTGGAAATTTAGTTAACAATTAACGGCTTTACTTAAAACTCTGTGTCAAATTAAGTAATGCTTTAAGTTGCTCTACCTCTCTCTCTTTTAATTAAATGACAATAGAATGAGATAGATATAGAGATAATCAATACTTTCTTATACTTATATACCTACCTTTGTGGTGGGATCAGAAGTGCAACGTTTATTATAAGCTTTTGTCAAAAACCATTGGTTCGGATTTCTACTGCCAACTACTAATGAGACTCTAGCAAGAAATTAAGAAAAAAAAAACGGCCGGAATGGATTAACAGAAAAGGAGTGGTTTTTATCGTGATAATGCCAGACCACTCACATTTTTGGCCATTTAGCAAAAATTGAGACAACTTGGTTGGGAAGTATTAATGTATCCGCCATTTATTCCTTGCACAATCAGATTTTCACCTGTTTTGGTATCTTCAGGATACTTTGGGCAGTGTTGCAGAAAGGACTGTCAAAACTATTTACCGCATTTTTTTATCAAAAATCCCAAGATTTCTACAGCAATGTGTTTGTCTCTAACTTTACATAAAAGATAGCAACAAGTTATCGAACAAAATAGCACATATATATTATAATTAAATGTAATTAAACTTTAAAAAATATCTTTAATTTTTATATAAAATACGAGGAAGGTTTTCTCCGACCATTTATGCATCAAAATATAAAATGGACAGATATTTAATATGTCAGGTTTATATTTGAATACAATATAATAAACTTGTGAAGTGGCGGTGTAAGAGAATGCACTATGATATGGAACATCCCACTGGTGTCACAGGAAGCTAGAGAGAGAAACTTAAATAGGAGATAGGCAGCAGTATGTTCCTTATATCAGATCAAAATAATATAAAAAATCCGCCTGACAAGCGACGCAACAATGGTAAATAAGTCAATCTATGGTTTGCGTTTGGTATGGTTTATGTTTAACACTAGACTTTTGTAATGATTACGAAGATACCTAGATAAACCTTCTAAATGTTTTGTGGTTTAAATTATTTCGTACTTACAAAATTGTTTACATTGGTTGACAGAATGTGCAATATACAGAACAACATGAATGCAATGAAATTTTTGTACATCGTTTAGTTACAATGTCAATAAAACTAAATAAAATGGTAAATTACAGTTGTTAGTTTCATTCAAATACGGTTGTTTCTTTTATCTGATTCATCATTCAAATTGGGAGATAAAAATGTTTAAAGTTAATTCTCATTATAATGAAACTTATTATACTAACTGAATGGACATCATTTTTACAATCTAATTTTTCCGTAATTATCTGTGACTCTTTTTATAGTAAAATATTTAGAGTAACTTATATGTAGAAATGTTTCGGATAAACTTTAATTTTTAATTGGAAATGGCCTGCAGGGTCAACCGATTTTTTTTTAAATAGAATAAGGGTGTCAAACTAGCACACAGTCCACCTGATGGTAAGTGGATGCTGCGGCCCATAGACATCCATATCTATCCTCGATTGGAATCAAAACGCAGATGCGTCGTTACCTCTGAAAACTAAGATGGAATGCGTTTAGAGAATTTCGTTCGCGCGAAATTCTCTGTATGCGGTTCAACCTCAAAGAGTTCGTGGATATGTGAGCAGTTTGACCTACTTAGGCTCTATATCTGAAAAAATAGCTAATGCACTATGACAGAGCGGCATTTACGTTTAATGTTTAAAATTAGTTTGATATGATAATTAGTGTACATATGAGGTATGTATTTATTTAGAGATATAGTTATGTAACCTAATAATAAAAAGCTAATTTACTTAAACAAACCCATATATTAATTTATTTTATAAAAAGAAAAATAAAAAAAAAACTGCTAGCAAAATTTTATTAAAAGTCAACAAATTCTCAAACAAAGGTAATTGCTGAGCGCGGCAGTGGTCGTCCCCGCCTCGGCCAGACTTTTCCGACTTAGTAAGTATTAAGTACGTTATGTGCGTACTGTCACGTGCCTGGCACGCACACATCGTATAAGCGGCGTTCGAAACATTTCTCAGAAGATAGCCCACTATTCTGTTTTAACTATGCCACAACTTTGCCAACGACCATTCCTATAAAGTTTTACGTACTAATAAAAGTACCGTTGCATTGCTAAATGAACAAACAAATGTTTCTAACTCACCTCCCCTAAACATCTTTAAGCCAGCTCTCTTATAATATACAGCCTCGCAAGATGGTCGTTCGTCACCCTCATGGTGATCAGCGATTGGTTGTGTGGTTGGAGGATATGGGACGCAAACTCCAGTTGTTTCCGACCAAACGATTGCATCTACTTAAAGCAAGTTTTGCCTTATGGCATGCGTTGTTAAGGTGAGAGTACCACATTGGTTTTTGGTTTGTTTTTGGTCATTGTTACGCCCAAGGAATTAACTTCAGTGGAGAATGGTACTTCCTAACAAAGGTGGGTGTACACCCTAAGTTTAGGCTTACCTGGTTGTTGGAGATGAGAAAATGATAAAGTAACTCACCTTTTTCTTTGATGTTAGTGCTTCACCGGGCTGTGTATTGTGAGCATAAGCATCACAACCTATCACAAGTTCGGCGTTGTGTTTTCGGGTAAACTCCGTCAATCGCTCTACTCGATGGTAGGATTTAAGTTCTCTCCGGGAAGATCAGCTGAGCAAGTGATTACTCTAGCCCCTGTACATACCTTGAGATTTATGAAGGTTGTAACCAGGTCATTGTTGCAGAACTCTGGAACAAATAAAAATTCAATATTTTTATAGTAAATTATACAGCTCTGGGTCTATTGTTCTCTGTGTCTATTGATCTATATATCCAGTCTATAGTATTGACTAGAATCTTACCGGTAGCCGAAAATCCCAGAACTTGAGCCTTGGCCACCCAATGCCTTGTATGAGTGCGAGGTCAATGTTATCCTCTGCACAACACAGTCAGTCTGCATTTGTTTTTCGCTTTACCGCTCCCACTTTTCTTCCACTTACTCCTGGACAACACCAGCGGAGGTTGTCGGACTGAGGCGAGATTAGCGCATTGGGTCTTCGTCACTCTCACTGACAATTACAGTGGTACACAGTAGTAGACAGGTACACCCCGAGAGGTGGAGGGCTGGGGGGATTGGAGTTGGGGCGGTACAGGCTCCATTTTTGCGTCAGAACCTCCCTTGACTTTAAATTATCATTTTAAAGCCAAGTACGACTCTGCCGTTTGTCTTAGGAAGAGTCTCTGCCGATGGGTCATCCAGGGAAAAGGTGTTCGGACATAGATTCGGATAAAGGATTCTCCAGAGCTCGGTATGGAGCCCTTCATTTTGTGCCCTCAACACCACCGCTGCATCCTCTGGAGAATTAGTTTCGCTGCGGGGCAGATAGGTAATATCCAGCTGAGGTTTAGGCAGTTCGCAATCGGGTATTATAGAGAGCTCTGCCTCCGGCCAGAGTTTCAGTTTTCCAACTTCACCCAATCCCTTTTATTAATAAGATAGATGTAGATTAGACAACATTACCATCAGACTTTTCGTTATATTACAATCCATTCCTAGCTTGCCTTATTCAGGCACGTTACCAGAATGCAACTTGGCTTGTGAGTAAAACCCGAAAATTTTGGTCCCATTCCCGGCTGCGCCCCACAGACCGTCTTAGCAATGGCCTGTATTAGTGCCCGGTGGACCAGCCGCATCTGCTCCACGCTCATAGGACTCGAATAGCGAATTCCTACTCGGGTGGAGCCAGCTACGGCACTGAAGCTGAGCTTCTTCTACCCCGTTGCCAGCTTTACTGACTTCCTGGGCTGGTTTTTGGGGGACTCCTCCTCAGACTGACTTTGTTTTTTCGCCTTCGGAACTGGTAGAGGTTTGGGCAGAGGAATTTCGTTCCAGAGTACTTTTTCTTTTCCCCTCCCTGGTTCGTTTCCGATTGTGTTTCGGCTGCATACGTGCCCTCCACTTCACGGCTTGTCCCAAGTTGGGGCATAGTATTGTAGGGTATTGGTGAGGCTAAAAAAGCCTCTTCCAAACTTACAAATAGTTCCATTAAAGGAGATTTTCTGTTACTGTTCGCAAAATGTTGATTTTCGTAAATTCTGGTCTCACGCTTCGCTAGGGAAGTATTCGGTCACCCCCGGCAGAGCATCGCATGCCTAGGGAAGGGCTAAAATCCTATCTTAAATTGGCCTGGTCTCGGGTAGGCAACATTTGCGACTGGACTCCTCCCCCCAGCCACGCATTCATCAGCACGGTATGCTTAACATCTTGGATTTGGTTAGCATAGGAAAAAGGGATGGGATAAAAGAAAAGAAAAAGAGGATCGTCTGAACGTTTCAGTTCTGTCTCTTTCCTATTGAACCAGACCAAATATCAGGTGATATCCACATAAAGAAAGAACGCCTTAGATTTGCCCTGGGGATCAACACGACCTGGACTCTCCTTCAGAAATATTCGCCAAACTGCTCACCGGACAGAAGGGCAGAATAGGTGTTAATCTAGTCCTATTGATAATGTCAAAATGTTAGGAGTAGATTAACCCCCGTCCGTTGTACCCCTACTTGTAGATTTTTTCGAATAGTTTTGTTTTTCAGAAGTTCGAGTCCTTTCAAACACGTGAGGCTTCTCAGTCATTAAGAAATGAGTGTCGCGGACAACAGAATCACACTTAGAATACAGAAAAAATTTGAGTGCCGCTTAATAAGGTAGTTAGCTTATTTGAAGCGGACTTTGTTAAAAGGCACGTCGAAGCTAAATATCTCGCTCTAGCATCACATTTTTTATTTGGCAAATTAAATTAAGTTAACATGGTAAGGTTTTAATCAAAAGTGAAATCTATTCTACTTTACAATTCGTAAGGCGAGTTTAATTTAATTTAAGTTTATGTTAAGCATCTCTTTCCAACATATGCATGCTAAATCATGACGATACGATAATGCTTAGTCAGCGTTTTATAAGTGGCATGAAAAAAATCCTGTTACAGGAAATGTGCGAAGACTCAAATTTCTTGGTAAGCGACTCTAAATAGTACATTCGTTCAGTGTCTGATATTCGTAAATGATAGAATTAAATACATCATAAAATTAGGATCATAATTTAATCCATTCAAATTTGGCGAGTGAACTTCTGAGAGCTTATCATGAATAACATCACTCAATGAAGAAGATGTATTCAATTCATGGGAAAGTTTTAAAATTGTCGATGTATAGAAAGAATTTCAATGTAACTATTATAGAAAATCTTTCTCGAATATGATATCGATTATGCTTATAATCGATATCAAATTACGATATCTCTTCGAACGTTTAACAAGTTTTGTTAATTTCTGAATAATAAGAAAAATATCTATATATGACATCGCGTGGAGCTAAACGAGCTATACCAGTACCTCTATGTCAGAGGTCCGTATCACCAACATGGAAAAGCTGAACTATATGCAGCCTGTGCTTAAAATAACTACCCAAGTAGCCAACTATCGGACAATTTCAATTACTCCATACTTTGCAGAATTATGGAGCGTATATTGCACACCCACCTCGTGGCATATCTAGAGCAGAATGATCTCTTCTGTGACGCCAGTACGGATTTCGCCAAAATCGATCAAATGGGGACCTTTTAGCGTATGCCACTCACATATGGGGCGGAGCCTTCGAGAACAGTGGGGAAGCACTTGCTGTTTGATGTCTCAAAAGACTTTGACAGGGTTTGGCACGCTAGGCTTTTTGGGGCAAGCTTTTGGTGTACGCCTTATTCACTGGCCTGATTAACTGGATGAAGAACTTTCTGAGAGAAGGATCTCACAGAGTCGACGATGATGGCTGCTCGTCCAATGTTATCACGACAGACGCCGGAGTTCCTCAGGTGTCCATCCTCTTCGCAACTCTCTTCCTGCTGCATATTAATAATTTGCTTATTCCCGGTATCTATGGGCATGCAGACGACAACACAGTTATGGAAAACTACCAGCAGAATGCCCGGACAAGTCGGGGTCAAATACAGTCCAAAAGAGATTGTATGGTTGAGCGTGCAAATCTCTCAATGCAGGCAATCTTTGAACGGGGCGAGGGTTACTTTCCGGAATGTATCTTTGGGAGTACACTGACTGCCTTCAGTTGTAAGGGATTTGATTTTTCTCCGAACCTCATCTATAGCCGGGTCATTGAGTCCAATGCCAAAGCAACAGTAAGGAAACTAGGTGTCCTTGCATGGGTGCGGCGGTACCTCAAGCCGGTACAACTTCTTAACTTATATAAAGCCTAAGTCCGTCGTGCTCGGAGTACTGCTTTCACATATTATGGGCAGTTACTTACAGTGACTTAGTGGAGAGATGTGCTAAGAGGCTCATTGGTAACCTTGATCTGGTTAAAACCAATCTTGTCAGCCTCGAGCACAGTCGCAGAGTAGCCCGTCTCTCAGTATCCCATGCGCAGGAATTATATGCTTAAATTCATCCCTCAGCTTTTCACCATCGAACAACCAGGCGGTCGGTAGATCTTTACTTTTTTTTTGTCGATTTTCACACATTAAGAACTAAACGCTTTGCTTCATCTTTTGTAATGCGTACAGCAAAGGAGTGGAATAACTTGCAGGCGTCTATCTTTCGGTCCGAATACAATCTGGGTGTCTTCAAGAGAAGAGTGTATAGGCTTTCGTTACGCTAAAACAGTACATTTTACTATCCAGAGCTATCGTCAGGGTTACCACTTACCACTAGGTGGAATTGTGGTCAAACACTGACATATTATAAGTAAAAAAGGGGTAGGTACTGCAGTTAATAATGAATTTCATTATTTTCTAGAACAAGAAGGTGATGACAACAGTATTTCTAGAGACCTATTGTCATCACCTCCTTGTTATCCTATCACCATGATAGGAAGGATCAGAACGGTTACTTTTTTTAGGGATCTGGTGCATAAAAGCTGTCAAGCTGTTATACTAGGCAAAATGTTTTGCTGTTTTACCTTAACTATAGTTATCATCTTTGAGAAACAAGACCACCGCACTTCTGCTCCACGTCCCCGGAGCAGCACCACCAAGGTGGACGGAATCGAAGAGCTTCTGAAGGACTTCAACTTTTCCACACGCTTTCAGAATATCCATTATAATTCCATTTTAATCTCATTTGGATTGACTTACGGAATATTATCGAGATAGTATCGGATAAAACTTGCTTTTGGATCATAATCACCCACGTGTGAATCCAACGATGAAATGTACAGCTGCCTATAGAACCTCCCAATCTCGTTCAAAATCTCCGGTGTACTGGAAACGATGCTGCCACATTAGGTCTTCAGATTTGATAGTTGATTCTTTCTAGCAGACCGATATTTGGCAATTGGGCCGCTTCTGGAAGAAAGAGTTCAGAAGAGCTATTCCATGGGACCAGCAAGTCGGCTAGTCGGCTAACCGATGGCCATATTTTTACAATTACTAAATTTATTAATTGTTTTTTTTTAACTTATTTTGAATTTTTTTTAATCTGTGGTTTTGTACATTTTTTTTAGAGGTTAAATTAATGTAAATATTTTATGAAAGCAATATATTTCTTATTTAAGTTACCAATATTCATTCATTAATATTTCTTAGCATGCAAATCGTTGTAAAAGTGTCCCTGAAAGAGATTTGAAGATCTATGGTTGCAGTTATTATGTAAGTAAGTAAATCTTTTATTGACATTATCTGGTGGTGTGTCACTCTCGGTTACAGCCTATACGTTTCACATCCGTCCTAAGGACTAGTATAATTATTGTCTTGTAAATTATCCCCTTGAGATCACAGGATACACACGAAGGGGATTTCGTAGGTCACAGGTCACGCCATTTACTTCTCACCATTTTAGCAAGGCAGTTGCAATACGATGCTGATTGTTGACGTCCTCTCCACCTGACTTACCATTTATGCAAATATAGTATGTTGCTGAAAGGAATAAAAAAGTCGGAAAGGGACATCCTAGGCGAAAGTTTATCGACTAAATTGGCAATATACTCGTATTGAAAATGGGTCAAATTAATAGCACCCTTTACCGACGAGCATGTATTCGTAGGTATATGGATATGGAGGAGGCAAGAGAAGATTGTCAGGATTGTGCTAAATGGAAGTATATTGTCAAAGCCGTGCAATTATAATTGAACGGTAGATTATAAATGGACTTCATTTCTTAGGGCATCCCGACTCAACTCTCTCTCTCTCTCTCTCTCTCTCATTCTTTCTCTCTCCTCTCTCTCTCCCTATATATATATAATGGTCATATATATACAATCAGATTTTCGTCATTAAATATTATGTACGCATTGAATCTTTGTTACTAGGTAATATATAAAGTTGCTTGAAAACGCTAACCATAACAGTCAGGTATAAAGAATCTTATTAGACCTTATTATTATTATAAATTTTACAGTCTGTGATCTCAAATATTTATTTACACTGATCTGTGTATATATAAATATATTATTTATCTGTGGTGTGTATAGTGAAAACGAAATTGATTTCGTTTTCACTATATGTATTGATACATAGTTTGGTTATTTTACTTAAGAAATTAAAGAAACTAATGAAATACTAAAACATAAAAAAATCGTCACAATGAAGTGTAATAATAGATATATAAAATTAAATATTTGAAATTGCTAAGTACTTGCAGTGTTTGTATTATACAAAAGTTTTGGAGGTATATTATCTAATGTATAGAAATAGTTTGAGCATTATTTTTAAATTCTTCAGCCTTGGGGCTGTAATAGTAGCTGCAGTTTTTTGGACCAATGCAGAAGTTGAATTTAGACCTAAATACAAAGACGAACAGACTCTTATCGCTGGTGCTATATGGTCACAAATAGTGATTTTATTAGGTCTAATTATATCTTCAGAAGTGGATGATCATTTACATCCGTTTGTACATGGTTATTTTTTATTGGCTGGTTCTGTTTTACTCATCGCTACAGGGGTATCGTTGGTTAGTATTTTTTTATTACAAAAAACAGGAAATCTAGTAACAGACGAACCTTAAAATGATGGTACGAACACATGCTCGGGTGGTTGACAGAAACTAGGTGTGTGAAACCAAAAATCGTTGCGAAGTGAAACAAATGAGGTTCTGGCGACCGATTGATGATTAAAAAATCGTGAGTAGTATAAGTTACAGCTGGCTTTTGAGCCAGGACTCACGAAACTGAAAACTCTCCCGCTCCATCATCGCTTTTTCACTATTTTTTTTTGGTCTCGATTATACTTTTACACAGTAACATATCTTAGTTGTTGTTTTCCAAAGACATTTAAGTTAGTATAATATATATTTAAATCTCTTTGTTTTTTCAGATCATAACAGAATATAAAAAAATGCACACCTTTCGACAATCGGCCGTGAATGAGTCTGGCGCAGCTGAAGCTACATCATCGAGGGCATACGACAGAGCGTATCTAACAATAGGCGCGCTTTGCGTCTTAGCTGGAACTTTAACATTCATCGATTTTATTATTATAATCACACCTGCTCTGCTGCTCTAATACAAAACGACGTTTGACGTTGAATATTTCAAGCGGAACTAATTTTCTGTCATATTCAATTTATGTAACATAAATCATGTGAGCGTTTATAAAATATCTTTAGTTACACATTGTCAAACGACGATTTTCTTTAATAAATGGATGATATAATGAGTGGAATTATTTAATAGATAATAGCATATTCCAGCGTAGCATTGTCACTAGAGGTACAGTTCTATGTAAGATGATTCACTTTCTCTAAAAAAACTCATTTTTATTTTTTATATATTTTTTGTAAAAAAAGTATGACGAAAGCGCACACAGTTCATTTGGTGGTAACTGGATGCTGTGACTGATAGACACCCACATTAATTTTCAATTTAGGACCTCTGAGGACTGAGATGAAATGCTTCGTTTCCAGTAAAAAGGAACTCCGGTCTCTACACTCACCATGCGAAACACAGTAGCATTGGGTGCGTTTGGCAGAAAAAAGCGCTAGCAAGCGCTTACAAGCGCTGAAATAGTTTTCGGCCAGGACACGATTACTACTTCAGTAGCGCTGACACAATCCGCCATTTTGCTTATTTAATTTGTTTGTTTTGAAGTAGAGTTTTTAAGTTGTTTTGTGCAATATTAGTTTTAAGTAATATAACAATAACATATATATTTACACATTCATGATTGGTAAGTTTTTAATATAAATACTTTACAAACATATATTTAAATTAGGTTAGGTTTCCCGGTTAAAACTAACATCGTGTCCTGGAGGAAAATAGCTACTTACGATTTGACAGCGCTTACCGCTTACGATCGCCATTTTGCTTACAAGCGCTTGCTAGCGCTTTTTTCTGCCAAACGCACCCATTAAGCTGTTATTTTATGTTGGTATTTTCTGAGAGCATGGTCCTACCTCATTCGAGTCAATCCATTCGTGCTATAACCATAATATAGCTGCAGCATGGCTCTAGCACGTAATTACCAAAATTACATAAAATTTCCAAAATTAAGTGCACACGAAATTGCGAGCAATCGCTACTTGTTAAAACTATTATTTTAAAAGGAGCCAAAACAAGTTATGCTCATTTTTAGTTCCGTTTTCGCAAATTTAATCATGAAAATGTTTTATATTTCAAAATTTTCTTCATCTTCTTTTTTCAGCCCGTAAGAATCTACTACAGGATATCAGCCTCTCCCATTGTAGAAAGCTTTTGCTATAATCGTCGCATTTGTTAGGATCGGTGATCGTAGTGCCAGATGCAGGTCGGTAGGTCTAGCTTAAACTAGGTAGTTACATTGCCATTTACTGGTCCTCATGATATCTCTCTGGCCTTTTCCATAGTCGGGATATGCTCTCTATTGAGGAGAATGATGGATTCCCTTTCGAAACAACCGCACTATGATTCTCTATGTTATGTGAAGTAACATTTTATTGTTTTGTATGTCTCTAAAAATATTGATGAAATTTAATGTCAATATATTTGGGAGATTCAAAAGTTAATCTACAGCGTACGTTTCATGTTTGTTCAACATATGATACACTACTACAGAAACAGAATAAACCTTGGGTATAGCGTTTACTATAATCGAGATATTCTCATAAGAAATTAATGTGTGTACTGGCACCAATATCCGAAAACTCATATTCACTCACTGATACTAAATGATCATAGTAACTTAACAGGCTTCAATTCAAAAAAGAGTTAATATTTACGCAACAAAATGAGTTATTACTTTTTAGGTCTGGATAGTAATAACATATATTATTCTAATGTTTATTGTTCTATTCTCTACGAGAAGCTTATCATATAAACATAATATAAGGATACATCAAACCTGATCTATGAATGATTAAAATATGAGTAAATAACGTTTACCATATTGTTGTTAACTCAACTTTACCAGTAGCCGTAGGTTAGGTTAACCGAAATAATGTGGCTTGCATACTTATCACGTCTTTAACGCTCAGATTGTTGAAAGGCTGTTCCTTTTCCGACTTTAGGGATACCAAAGCTATCGCTGTTATATTAGCATAATATATCTCTTTACACTATGTGATACAAGTATAATTCAAATGTATGCTATAAAAGGTTACATTGTTATAATTTTATTACTAAATTCTAATATAAGTCATGTAGAAGGTTACAGTTTAAGTGTATTAATAAAAGGACAACAAGAAAATGCCACTTGGATTGTAAGTAACTGTTCTTAGTAAAAGTAAAGATTTTTTTAGACAGAAATTGTAATTATGAAAATATTATGTATAAAAGAAATTGTTAATTGGTTGTTGTGTATTTCGAAATAATATTACAACAATCATAGAAGCTGCGCGCACGGTTCGTGTTAGTCGACTTCAGGTGCTCCTCATCTGTAGCTCGTATCAAGCTGTAGGACTTATTGAGCCTGTAACTACTTAATTATCAACTCCGAAAAAATTTTTTGTATCATATATTTTAACATAGTAGAGCCATGCTGTAGCAATGTTATGTTGGTTGCAGCGCATATAGTACAGTTCAGTCGGGGGAGGAGCACGCTATTGTAATTTTGTATTTGTAAAACAGCAGTTTATTGCTAATAATGCTGAGTCTAGGTGTCTATGGGCCACAGCATCCACTAACCATCAAGTGGAGTGTGTGCTCATTTATCACCCTTATTCCTGTAGTATGATATTTGAGGTTAATTTAAAATAAATTACAATAAATGAGAGAAGCGTTAAAGTTGCAAAATAAGTTCAACATAATCACCATAATTTTCTACTCCATCAGTCCGTCATTTGATCTAACTAGTATGATGCTTCCTCTCAAAAACTATTCTTATCAATTGTCAGTTTTTTAAAAATTAAATACTTGGTTCTCTTCGTATTCAGATTAACTGGAGAGCTAAGAATAATATATTTTTTAAATACGTTGCTGTTTCTTTTCAGTATATTAATAACGGGGCTTCTAGCTTTCGGAATCTACTGGACGACGAAATATTTAATTTACATGTCTGAACAATCATTATCTACACCTTCCTCTCTAACGTCTACGGCGGCGTAAGCTTAATTTGTTTGTTTTGTTGTCAAATTGTTGCAATATTATGGAAGTTGAAATATTTTGGACAACATCTCCGGTGATGAGTTAATTTGAATTTTGGATATAATGATTCGTGAATAAATGTAGTTTTTACCTTGAATGTGATTTCATTTTATTTTCAACAATACAGTAGACCCGCGGTAATCCGACAAACGTTTTGCAAGATGGTGTCGGATTATCAAATTTGTCGGATTATAAAGTACTGCCACAACCCCCTGGTAGTCCGGAACTTTTTGAAAAAGAGTACCTTATAATCCGACAAATTACATATCAAATATTAAATAATAAAAAAGCAATGTAATGCAGAATGAAGTAAATGATGAATGTCTGCCAGGTTGCAACCCCATAGTCAAACTTAAACTGAGACAATGGCCTGAAATAAATGCAACCTGTTTGTCCACGTATTCGCGAAGAACACCTCCCCCTCCCCCCCCGCCCCCATGGCGGATTCATTTAAGGCATGTCGGTCGGATTAAAGGGGGATGCGGATTAGCCAGGGGCCGGATTACCGGGGGTCTACTGTATGTATATATATATACATATATATATATATATATATATATATATATATATATGTACATGTATATGCATATATGTATAAACACAAAAATAATCAAGTACGGAAATAAACTACGAGCTAAGAGCCCACCTGATGAGTTGTGCTGCAAGTCAATGGACACCTGCAACAACAAACACCATCGAACAAAGCAGGCTACATATGCATTGTCATTGATTTGAACTTAGATGGAATGTTTCACTTTCACAGCTTGCTCTTACCCTTTAAAACGGAACATAGTTATTGGGTGCTACGCTGCTTGTTGGCAGCCGTAGGCGAGAGGGTTGTAAATGGTGGTAATGAAAATCAAATAAAACCCAGATTTTAGCCTAAAACTTAACAACAATCACTGAAGATATCTGTGGGGCTTAATAATGGTTAACACACACTTAAAATATACATCCTGCTATATTTTGAGTCATGATCTCATACATTTCCAAATAAAAATCATTTTTCTGATTTTTCAGATATTAATATTTATTTAGACTTTGAAAGACAAAAAAGTGTTTTTAAGTTACCGTTATGGAGAAATAACTCTACAATATTAATTAATTTACTGGCGGAGTATATGAAATTATTTATGTTAAGAATATGTATTTTATTGGAATCTATAATTTTATAGTAGATTGGTAGGTGATACTTACTGAAAGGTTATTTTTTATTTCCTAGATATTCAAATGAGACGTACTTTAAAACTTGGTGATAAAGTTGTCCAAAATCTACAATAATTTATTTTGATGGATAATGTACACTTATCACTCATTTTCCTCATACTTTTTCTTAACACGTTTTCTGCCTTTTCACCCACATTTGAGTCATTGCTATTGTCTTACTGTTGTGTCCGGGAAACGGGCAGTGAAGGTGCAACTTACATAGAAACATTCTAAATTAAAATTTTACGGGCGATACGATAAGTTATTTTATGAGTACCATGTGATGTCACATCCATTCACAAAAGTAACACCATGTCATATACATAAAATTTATAATTGAAAGATGATTGAAATTCATTTATAAAGTACCTACGTACATGCGAATACCCTAGCAATTGGGACAGTAGCAGAAATAACGAGATAACCATACTGTTTAGACCTTTCCTTTTTTTCCTTAGTTGTTTCGTATTTTCTGTCTTATTTTCTGTGTTTGCTCTAGTTCCAGCGAAAAATTCTACAGTCCTACCCTACTGCTATGCCTACAACACTCGGTTACAGTTCATGCGCTTTGGATGTTGTTTATGGTCGAGTTCGTGCAGCGATCAGTAGTGGTACACACACAACGGTAAATCAACACCATTACAGTAATGTTTTTTTATAGGAAAGGGGGCAAACGAGCATACGATTCACGTGATTGTAAGTGATTTCCGCCGCCCATGAACAACTACAATACCAGGGCAA